ACAATGAGTCTGTTGGAGATCCCAGAACAATGTGTCAGTGTAAGATCACAGTACAATGTTCCTGTTGGAGATCCCAGAACAATGTGTCAGTGTAAGATCACAGTACAATGCGTCTGTTGGAGATCCCAGAACAATGTGTCAGTGTAAGATCACAGTACAATGAGTCTGTTGGAGATCCCAGAACAATGTGTCAGTGTAAGATCACAGTACAATGCGTCTGTTGGAGATCCCAGAACACGTGTCAGTGTAAGATCACAGTACAATGCGTCTGTTGGAGATCCCAGAACAATGTGTCAGTGTAAGATCACAGTACAATGCGTCTGTTGGAGATCCCAGAACAATGTGTCAGTGTAAGATCACAGTACAATGCGTCTGTTGGAGATCCCAGAACAATGTGTCAGTGTAAGATCACAGTACAATGCGTCTGTTGGAGATCCCAGAACAATGTGTCAGTGTAAGATCACAGTACAATGAGTCTGTTGGAGATCCCAGAACACGTGTTAGTGTAAGATCACAGTACAATGTTCCTGTTGGAGATCCCAGAACACGTGTCAGTGTAAGATCACAGTACAATGCGTCTGTTGGAGATCCCAGAACAATGTGTCAGTGTACGATCACAGTACAATGCGTCTGTTGGAGATCCCAGAACAATGTGTCAGTGTAAGATCACAGTACAATGCGTCTGTTGGAGATCCCAGAACAATGTGTCAGTGTAAGATCACAGTACAATGCGTCTGTTGGAGATCCCAGAACAATGTGTCAGTGTAAGATCACAGTACAATGAGTCTGTTGGAGATCCAAGAATAATGTGTCAGTGTAAGATCACAGTACAATGCGTCTGTTGGAGATCCCAGAACAATGTGTCAGTGTAAGATCACAGTACAATGCGTCTGTTGGAGATCCCAGAACAATGTGTCAGTGTAAGATCACAGTACAATGCGTCTGTTGGAGATCCCAGAACAATGTGTCAGTGTAAGATCACAGTACAATGCGTCTGTTGGAGATCCCAGAACAATGTGTCAGTGTAAGATCACAGTACAATGCGTCTGTTGGAGATCCCAGAACAATGTGTCAGTGTAAGATCACAGTACAATGAGTCTGTTGGAGATCCCAGAACAATGTGTCAGTGTAAGATCACAGTACAATGCGACTGTTGGAGATCCCAGAACAATGTGTCAGTGTAAGATCACAGTACAATGCGTCTGTTGGAGATCTCAGAACAATGTGTCAGTGTAAGATCACAGTACAATGCGTCTGTTGGAGATCCCAGAACAATGTGTCAGTGTAAGATCACAGTACAATGCGTCTGTTGGAGATCCCAGAACAATGTGTCAGTGTAAGATCACAGTACAATGAGTCTGTTGGAGATCCCAGAACAATGTGTCAGTGTAAGATCACAGTACAATGCGTCTGTTGGAGATCCCAGAACACGTGTCAGTGTAAGATCACAGTACAATGCGTCTGTTGGAGATCCCAGAACAATGTGTCAGTGTAAGATCACAGTACAATGAGTCTGTTGGAGATCCCAGAACAATGTGTCAGTGTAAGATCACTGTACAATGCGTCTGTTGGAGATCCCAGAACACGTGTCAGTGTAAGATCACAATACAATGCGTCTGTTGGAGATCCCAGAACAATGTGTCAGTGTAAGATCACAGTACAATGCGTCTGTTGGAGATCCCAGAACACGTGTCAGTGTAAGATCACAGTACAATGCGTCTGTTGGAGATCCCAGAACAATGTGTCAGTGTAAGATCACAGTACAATGCGTCTGTTGGAGATCCCAGAACAATGTGTCAGTGTAAGATCACAGTACAATGCGTCTGTTGGAGATCCCAGAACAATGCGTCTGTTGGAGATCCCAGAACAATGTGTCTGTTTGAGATCCCAGAACAATGTGTCTGTTGGAGATTCCAGAACAATGTGTCTGTTGGAGATACCAGAACATGTGTCAGTGTAAGATCCCAGAACAATGTGTCTGTTGGAGATCCCAGAACAATGTTCCTGTTGGAGATCCCAGAGCAATGTGTCTGTTGGAGATCCCAGAGCAATGTGTCTGTTGGAGATCCCAGAACAATGTGTCAATACGAAGATCGTGGTGGCATGTTCCGTGTCATTTGGTCGAGCCCGGTATACACTTCAGCAGTACAGCTAATGTGGGATTATCCACTTGCTCAGCGAGGTAATGCTGCGATAACCTGCCACAATCATCCTACAATGTAATGGTCAGTTCTCCGCGGCCATGCGCTGGCTACTACAGTCTAACCAAAGACTCTATCTGGGCTAATGAGAACAGTTGACGCCAGTAACTCCAACCCACTGAAGCCTCTAAGACTATAATCAATAAGGCAGTGTGATTGGTATAGATCAGTCTACAGGGGCGACCCCTCGTAGCCTTCCTCTACAACAAGCTTCTCAAACTAGGGACTTACTGGGATTCAAATAGAACGGGAAAATCGATGTCATGACCGATATGTGTTCACATAAAAAACAGCGTATATTTAGTAGGTAACCAATGCAAACGTGAATGAGACTTAAGTGAGCGGATACACCAAGGTAAAGAAGGCTTATAATCATAAACCAGGAAAACAATGTTAGCTTTTGATCAGCAGCTGACCACACAACACCAGCTGAACATACAACACCAGCTGACCACTACACGCACGCCACAACACACCCAGGTGAAAAGTGCATCATCTCGAAGTTAGCAGTCCGTCTTGGGGCCGGTCATGCTTCACAGACAATTCTCAGGCCACAGCCAAAACCAAATGTTAATAATGTACCCGCATTAGTATGGCTGTTTGACCCGATGTGTTGGAATGTTACACAAGACGTTAGCGAGTAATGTGTAATCAATGTAACTTGCGAGGCAACCGCTCGGTTAATATGCAAATCCCTCATATGATATAATAGGATTTTAGTGGTAAGGAAATCGTTTCACAAACTTTTTCAAAATCTTTTCAACTCGACATTACCTCACCTGATACAATATTCGTGAGAACCTTTGAAGACAAATATTTATACACGTGATTTCACTATTTAATGGGACATTAATTCAATGACAGCTTCAATCAGAGCACTTTCAACTAAGATAATTAACTACCTTGACTAAATGTACCCAAGATACCACTTACACATATGTATTTTAAACTTCTGTTTTTCTCTATATTACACTCGATGGGGACATAAAGACGTTTATGGTATAGATTCCTTACCACACATTGAATAATGATGTATGCAGGTCAAAACATGATTAAATTTCTAGCTAGTTTAGCCCTGCACTAAATATTTCCCTGTGGTATTGAAACTAATTGACGGAAGTTTAACGTGGCCTTCAGCAGCAATATCACAAACCAAGAATGATGTAATTAGGGCGATCAGGGCCACACAATCACCCACTCCCCAAAGCTGCGACAGCTTACAGCTTGAATAAAATACCATGTAGAGCAGTGTAAGGGCAGAACGTGGTTAAGCGGCCTGTAGCTGATGGAGATATCACCTAGTGCCCAAAAGTTCATTCTTACAAAATATAGAACAGGCAACTTTAGCGAAGTAGATGTATTTCCTCTAAACATTTTACATTTAAAAAAATAATATTTCAATTGCATGGATTATCTACATTACAAAACATGTTTTAATGAAATTATGAAAGATTTCTAAGTCACAGAATGTGACAAACACAGTTAAACACGTTCAGATGAAAACACTCATACTCCAAGTTTTAGATAAACCAAAATGGCGCCCTCCGTCATTCACCAAAGTGCTAACAAAACACTTCCTCGCCTTCAGGGCAGGGAATAATAAACCATTCCTTTAGGCAAAAGACTACCCGAAGCAGAACAGTCGTCCTGGTCCATAGTCCATCACAGCCTCTCTAAGCTATCCCACGCCTAGATAACTGTCACAACAACTTCATTCACAGGGTGTTTTTTGTGTTTCACAATATATTTTCACATCCTGAAGTCCTAATTAGAGACTCCAACGTCGTATCTTGTTTTAGGTCTTGCAACATCATCAACACCTAGCTCGCATCATATACAGACATATTGTGCAACTTTATCACATCATATACTGGTACTATGTGCAACTTTATCACATCATATACTGGTACTATGTGCTGCTATATCGCATCATATACTGGTACTATGTGCTGCTATATCGCATCATATACTGGTACTATGTGCTGCTATATCGCATCATATACTGGTACTATGTGCTACTATGTCGCATCATATACTGGTACTATGTGCTGCTATATCGCATCATATACTGGTACTATGTGCTGCTATATCGCATCATATACTAGTACTATGTGCTACTATGTCGCATCATATACTGGTACTATGTGCTGTTATGTCGCATAATAAACTGGTACAATGTGCTGTTATATCGCATCATATACTGGTACTATTGTCTGTTATATCGCATCATATAATATTATTATTAACGGCTCTACTCGCATATCTAAATTGGTATTGCTACATCGCATTGCATACTCGTTCCTGGCATCCTATAGTCCTGCCCCGCATCATATGTATTGGAACCTCGCGTGTACAGTTCAGATATCTATATGCAGTTTGTATCTAGGCTCCCCCGGCAGCTGGCTACATAGGGCATCAGTACATGTATACACATTCAATGTATATTTGAATGTCAGTGATAATTCTTATGCTTATCTGACTAAGGAATTTAATTCCACAAATGAGATCGATTAGTTGGGTTTTACAGAATGTGTACCTATGCCACAACCCACAGAACTATACAATAATATTCAGCCAGTACAGGCACATCCCACTCTGTTCCCGTTGGTCTGACAATTCACTACCAGCTCTATCCAGATGTACAAATCAATATAAAACAGGTAACATCTTAGGTACAGGCGAAAATATGTGAAACTGACCCTCATTCACACAGACGTTCCCGTTTACACGCCCTGGTGTTTCGCAGTCGCTCATTGAAAGACGGGGCTCGCATCCGTGACTGCCATTAGCTCTGCTTACCTTTGTGTGAGAACATTCCTCGATACAGAAAAACACCAGGACCGACGAGGTGAGATTTTCACTTCGTCCTTCGTCTACGAGATAAAAACACTCAAACAATTACTAACGAACAGCAAATATCATCCCTCCTTAAACATAACATGGCCAGTTTGTGACGAAGCTGCTCATCCACAACACACAGGGTTATTACTTAGCCATCGACAAACAGCTGACATCAGTGTTTATGTTGTTGGGGTCAAAGGTCACTATACCACGTGACCGAATGTTTTCATTCAGTTTAGAGCCCTTTCGTTAATTTACTCAAATCTCTGCACGTTTCGGAACGTCATAAAATCATTTGCTAAGCATGGATTATGCAGTGACGGCCGGTTAATGAGCCGTTGTGCACCCTGCCCCTTTGTTGTTCGCTGTTGGAGAGGTGCCAGCTATATTTGAGATTGACGTCATCACACCAAATGATTCAAAGGGACGTTACTCTAGTAAGGCAATTCTGATCTTGGATAAACTGCTTATATCTCGGGCGGGGGACAAGCTCATAAGACATATAGGAGTGTCTGTTACAATTTTTTAATCCCCTTTTTAGGTCATGAAATGTATTTATAATGAATAAATACCATACTCAAAGAAAGTATGATCATATTCATTTTATCAGTGAGATGTAGAATAGACACACGCAAAGCTAAAATCAACTCTTTTGTTTTGGAAGATATAAAATGTCTTTGTGTTTTATTTGAACTGACTATTGGCCAAACGGACTTTCTTCATATTTCTTTCGTAAAAACTGGAATTTAAATTCGAATTCTGCCAAGCATTTTTGTCTTAACACGGTTAGGTTTAGACTAACATTTAGTCTCTGAAATTTTATATTACACAATATCCTTCTTGACTCTAAACATAATTCCCACCCCCCATGCTGGTTTCTGATATGGAATACAGCTAGATTGAGCTGGCAAGACTTGCTTTTGTATGCGTTTCTAGATTTTATTTTTTCATAAAATAAATATATTCCACGGTCATGGTGCAGGACTAGGATAGGTTTTGAGGAAATATAATTCCCTATGCATTAGAGACGCCGAGGGGTTTGGACGGGAACAAACCAGAGACCATATGTATTATATGTTCTCCGGAACAAACTGAGTTGTGGTGTTTTTACCCAAATACGCATTGAAGCGACATCAAACTCCAAATTGTTTATTGTGTGTATAGTCTGAAGTTTGGTCAAATAGTCAAGCCATATCCATGTGTAGTCATCCATGAATTAATATGATCACGGTTAATTTTCCCTTTTTGTATAACTGCATGTGCAACAGAATGGAAAGAACCAATGGAATGTGTTTAGAGGGATGTCTTCAGGTTTAGATAATGTATCCTGAACCCTTCTTGAACACAGAAGTAACGTAGCAGTTCCCTACACAGGCAGACTGGAGAGTGCATGTCGGTATTCCACCAGGGCCATTACCCCGGACACGAGTATCTGTGAGCACGGTGCGCGTTAACGACGTAGTTACCTCCGGCGTGACTGTGTCTCATCCAGCGCGGACTTTAACCCCGTCACTGTATCTGCGTGACACAGCCGACACACGGAAATGCCGTCTTGTTCAGAGAGATCGACTAGAGTGACACTTGTGTCCCACTTGGACGGTTCGTGAACAACTTGACACAAGTACCCCTTCACACTGAACTTTAAATACTAAAAAAATAAGGATTATCCGATTATCCGTATACGTGGACCGTAAGTTTCCACCTAGGATCCTGTAAAGGTCATAATAGCCATAAGGAAATATCTTCTTCCGAATCAAATAATTGTCACGTGCAGGAAACTACCAAACGTCCTTTTTCCCGAGTTTTCGGTGACAAATGTCAAAAGTAACACAAAACATGGGGGTGGTGTAATGGTGGTTAGATTGCCATGGGGGGTAAGGCATTCAACGCTCAATTTACAAGGAAATCGGAGAAGGCGATCCTGGTGTTTAGAACCTATAATCTTTGAAAACGGGAGACATGAATGGGTTTACAAAGGCATACCGCAAATCTAAGGGTAGTAGATTGTCGGATTATTACAGTAAATGACTTGGGTTTTACGCCGATTCCAGGAATATTCCACAAATATCCTTCCGTGGGACACGAGAAACACTGTACCTATGTAGGGAATCGAACCCGGGCTTTGGACGCGACGAGCGAACGCTTTAACCACTAGGCTACCCCACCGCCCCTTGAAACATTACAGATTAATAACGTGTAGGTACATTTTGTTCGGAATTGCAACTGATGTTTACATTAGGCTTGTTAGTTTTCCCAACATAACACGCTGTCCGCAATAAATCCGTCATTTCAATATAGCAAAACCTGTAGCGTGTCGCCACCTACCATGATACGTATGAACAATCTTACATTAAGTACGTACATTAATTAGTTTACCATCATTGGACCTACATATATCAATGTAATTGTTGTGCCAACTCCCACGTACTTGTCGACAACAGCTGCACTGCCAGAATAAGCCTATATTTGAACAATTTGACAGCACACAGGGAATCAGCCTATATTTGAACCATTTGACATCACAGAGGGAATCAGCCTATGTTGGTGGACCATTTGAAAACACAAATGGAATCAGCCATATTATTTGAACCATTTGGCAACACAAAGGGAATCAGCCTATGTTGGTGGACCATTTGACAACACAAAGAGAATCAGCCTATGTTGGTGGACCATTTTAAAACACAAAGGGAATCAGCCAATGTTGGTGGACCATTTGACAACACAAAGGGAATCAGCCTATGTTGGTGGACCATTTGAAAACACAAAGGGAATCAGCCTATGTTGGTGGACCATTTGAAAACACAAAGGGAATCAGCCTATATTTGAACCATTTGACAACAGTAAGGGAATCAGCCTATATTTGAACCATTTGACAACAGTAAGGGAATCAGCCTATGTTGGTGGACCATTTGACAACACAAAGAGAATCAGCCTATGTTGGTGGACCATTTGAAAACACAAAGGGAATCAGCCAATGTTGGTGGACCATTTGACAACACAAAGGGAATCAGCCTATGTTGGTGGACCATTTGACAACACAAAGGGAATCAGCCTATGTTGGTGGACCATTTGAAAACACAAAGGGAATCAGCCTATGTTGGTGGACCATTTGAAAACACAAAGGGAATCAGCCTATATTTGAACCATTTGACATCACAAAGGGAATCAGCCTATATTTGAACCATTTAACAACACAAAGGGAATCAGCCTATGTTGGTGGACCATTTGAAAACACAAAGGGAATCAGCCAATGTTGGTGGACCATTTGACATCACAAAGGGAATCAGCCTATTTTGGTGGACCATTTGAAAACACAAAGGGAATCAGCCTATGTTGGTGGACCATTTGACAACACAAAGGGAATCAGCCTATATTTGAACCATTTGACATCACAGAGGGAATCAGCCTATGTTGGTGGACCATTTGACATCACATAGGGAATCAGCCTATATTTGAACCATTTGACAGCACAGAGGGAATCAGCCTATGTTGGTGGACCATTAGACATCACAAAGGGAATCAGCCTATGTTGGTGGACCATTTGACAGCACAGAGGGAATCAGCCTATGTTGGTGGACCATTTGACATCACAGAGGGAATCAGCCAATGTTGGTGAACCATTAGTCATCACAGAGGGAATCAGCCTATGTTGGTGGAACATTTGACATCACAGAGGAAATCAGCCTATAGTTGAACCATTTGACATCACAGAGGGAATCAGCCTATGTTGGTGGACCATTTGACATGACAGAGGGAATCAGCCTGTGTTGGTGGACCATTTGACATCACAGAGGGAATCAGCCTATGTTGGTGGACCATTTGACATCACAGAGGGAATCAGCCTATGTTGGTGGACCATTAGACATCACAGAGGGAATCAGCCTATGTTGGTGGACTATTTGACATCACAGAGGGAATCAGCCTATATTTGAACCATTTGACATCACAGAGGGGATCAGCCATGTTGGTGGACCATTTGACAGCACAGAGGGAATCAGCCTATATTTGAACCATTTGACATCACAGAGGGGATCAGCCTATGTTGGTGGACCATTTGACAGCACAGAGGGAATCAGCCTATGTTGGTGGACTATTTGACATCACAGGGGGAATTAGCCTATGTTGGTTGACCATTAGACATCACAGAGGGAATCAGCCTATGTTGGTGGACCATTAGACATCACAGAGGGAATCAGCCTATGTTTGAACCATTTGACATCACAAAGGGAATCAGCCTGTGTTGGTTGACCATTTGCGTCACAGAGGGAATCAGCCTATGTTGGTGGACCATTAGACATCACAGAGGGAATCAGCCTATGTTGGAGGACCATTAGACATCACAGAGGGAATCAGCCTATGTTGGTGGACCATTAGACATCACAGAGGGAATCAGCCTGTGTTGGTGGACCATTTGACATCACAGAGGGAATCAGCCTATGTTGGTGGACCATTTGACATCACAGAGGGAATCAGCCTATATTTGAACCATTTGACATCACAAAGGGAATCAGCCTATCTTGGTGGACCATTTGACATCACAGAGGGAATCAGCCTATGTTGGTGGACCATTTGACATCACAGAGGGAATCAGCCTATATTTGAACCATTTGACATCACAAAGCGAATCAGCCTGTGTTGGTGGACCATTTGACAGTACAGAGGGAATCAGCCTATGTTGGTGGACCATTTGACATCACAAAGCGAATCAGCCTATGTTGGTGGACCATTTGACAGCACAGAGGGAATCAGCCTGTGTTGGTGGACCATTTGACATCACAGAGGGAATCAGCCTGTGTTGGTGGACCATTTGACAGCACAGAGGGTATCAGCCTATGTTGGTGGACCATTTGACATCACAGGTTGAAGCTGTCATTAGAATCCTGACTTCAAAATCAAATGAGATGTTAAGGTAAATTACATTACATGTTCTCTAGTCAAAATCCTAGGAAAAGTAATCCTTATCGGCATTGTTCATGAAATGAATCGTTAATGATATTGCAAAATCAAGTAAGGCTGCAGAATTTAGCAACTTTGCAGTTGAATTTTCACGCCACTTAATTTAGCACTTCAACAACATCACAGCGATATCTCGATAACCGGTTTTACAAGCCGAACCACGATGCAGCGGACTGTGGGACTGACGTGATGAGAGATCCTGAAGGCAAACATCTGTTATCACACCAACCACTAATCCACTTACTACGAGACTGTATCGTTCTAAGTGTCCACGGTAAGGACAGTGGAAGTGGCCTTTACAGGGGAC